AGCTGAGCTTCCTTCTCCGTGGTGGGGTGTCTCTTCTGTGTACAAGTCATTTTTAAAGATTCTTTTCAATCAAACCAGTCACATATCTTGGTAAAAAGCCATTCCCTGTGGGCTCAGGAGGGCTGGTTCCCGCCCCAGGAGGGGGGAATCCCCCACTCATCTTTCAGCCCATCTAAGCGCCTTGGAGGTTTAGGGTCTGTCAGGCCTGGCATTCCTCCAGTCTTCTTATCACTCTCTACCCCTTCAAAAAGGCAATTGATTAGTTTCAGCTTTTCCAAACCGAGATCCGATACGTTTCTCAGGATCAAAAGTCTTCCAGAAGCACAAGAGGCGAGGCCTGGGGGATGGGGAATGTGGAGAAGAATAAATGCTAGGGCAGAGGACAAAATAAGCCCCGATGCCCCAATCCTCATGTCCCACAGCCCCAGAGTCCAGCAGGATGCAGGCACAGGATTAGGGATGAAATAGTGATTTCACCTGGAAGATTCACTTAATCTAAGAAAGTGCCTTCACTCTCTAGAAGCAAGTACTTAAAGGAGTAAAGAGCAAGGAGGCTGATGATTTATGCCTGGATTTCCCTCCAAGCATTTGCCTTTCTTGTATTTACAGGCGTGGCTCCCTCTGCAAGTTATCCAGCTGTTCTATTCACGTGACATTTCAACAAAACTTTAACATCTGGGCAAGATAAACTTCCTTCAGGTACCTGCCTAACTTTTCACTTGTCATACTTGTGTCACCAGGCGCACCCTTCTCCCCTCCTGCCCACCTCCGCATTAACTTTTGTGGAGCTCTTGGCTTAGTCCAAACTACTCCAACATCACCCTCCTCCCATTGCCACGCTGTGCCTGGGCCACTTTCTTTAGTAGATCCCTGAAGTATCCGTCCTCTGGTTTGATGGTGCAGGTAAACGAGGGTAGTATGGGACACCCTAGAAAAAAGCAGTATTTGGATCCAGGCTCCAGCTCAAAACAAAACCAAAGCTGCCGAACAATCAACACTCAGACTCACATTTGCTTCGCAGTCTGTATATTCCTCAGTGGAATGAAGGAGAGCAACTGATTTTGATGGCTGTCTTTTCACTGAGGTTTCCCTCTGTCTGGTCGATGTTTAAATTGTATGTTTTACAGAAATTTAATTTCACTGACTCGCAATCTCCCTTCCCCCCAAAGACCGCCTTCTGGAATGAATGCTTTTAAAATTGTTTTTTTCTCTTCCAAATCTGGAGTTTCGTTCCTCTGGCTTCAGCCTAGGGGGAACGCAGAAGCAGAAGGACACATTCACAAACTTAGGGGAGAAAAAGAAAGAAGGAAAAGAAAATAGTTCGCGTAAACAAGAAAAAAGGCCCTTGGAGGCCCTCATCTAAAGCAAACCCCAAACGATCTTGTTGCAAGGAGTCCACGAAATCCTGGCTGTAATTGCGTGTTGTCTTTGAGGTTTTCTGCCCATGTGCTGTTCACCATGGTTACTGTGACTGATACAAGAAGATGAATATTTATTATGATCCCATCCCAACCTTTCCCCAAGGGTTATCTCGCTGGCCTTTGTAATGGGAGAGAATATAAAGCTAGAACGTTTGAGCCAGTGATTTTAACCTGCCCCACCTTCCAGTGACCTGCCACAGACTCCTTCGCACTTTATAGACATCTGGGAATTCCATACATGCCTTACACTCCAATTACACACCTTCTTCAAAGGACACGTGCTTTGATTCGCTAAGATCATTAAGTGGCTCACAGTTCTGGGGTCTGGGGACAAACCCAAGGAAAGGAGGGTGTATGCCATGCCTTGTTGACTAGGTCTATCTTTTGCTGTTGAGTAAATAAAGAAAATTAGTCATCCTTATGTTTGCATTTTCCAGGGCTCAATTTACAGAGAAAAGCCAGTAGTTTTCTGAGAAACAGTCTCGTGGCCAGCTTTGAGATAATAGGAAGAAGTCCATTTCTCTTTCCATTTTGCGTTCCTTCCACTTTCGCTGGAGCAGGGGGTGGGGCAGTCTTTATGACACATAAGCAGAAAATTCTGCAAAAGTGGCCCCTGGGGATCCCTTTGCCGACCCGTTTGTCGTTCACGCGGGGCCTGTCTCTGGAAATTTGAGGTTGGGCCTTAGCCTGAGTTCGCTGCTGCTGCTGCTCCCCTTGCTACCGCTGACACTTGGCGCCACGGCCTCCAAACAACGCCCAGAGCCCACGGGAGCGGGTCCACTCCATTTGAAGGGGCTAACGGCCCAAGCCGCCCTCTCCACAGTACGGGTAGGCCCGCCACCCACGCAGGAGATCCTGGGCCGGGCCTCTCTCCCGAGCCCACCGCAGGTGAGACCCTCACTCCCCACCAAGTTCTGTTTGGGTTTCCGTGGCGTTTGTTCTCCACAGGTTTGTTTGTTTTTCTTCAAATTACAGATGCAGGGAAAACCGCCTGACATCATGAGAGCGGGACAAATGCTCACTTTGAAGGATTCCTGGGCAGGACTTCAAGTGAAATCATATGCCTGAGAAGAACTTGATACCGGTCTAGAGAAAATAACTAGTTTTGACTTTGCCAAACCATGGAATGTGCAAAATGCTCTACTTTTTTGCAAGAGGCCAAGTGTCCTTTAAAAAGCTCCATTATGAATATGAGCCCGGAGAGCGAAGGGACAAGAAGCTGGTGCCTTTGTTCAATATGGGGAAAAACTACACAAGGTGTGTGAGTTTCTGCTACTTAACCTTATGCTATTAGTAGTCTGCTCTACTTTGGAAAGGGTACCTGCTACTGTGCATGCATGCCTGCCTATCTCTGTACATGCTCTGTGTGGATATGCACGAAAAGGGGAGATATATGAAAAGAAAAACCTACTGCTTCCTTATGACTGAAGGTTATCAATCAGATAAGAACAAAAATAATGATTTGTACAGTAAAGGAAATATCTTATTCACCATTTTAGAATTCATCCAAGACTACTGGATACAATACGCTCTCCTAGCAAATGCATTCTGGTTGAAAGGGGAAGACCTGAGTCCAGCCACCTAACTACACGCAAAGATTTATCCTCTCAGCGATAGAGCAGGTATTGATGACTCTTTTAAACAAATACAGGTAGCAAAAATAAGCCAAAAAGAAGTAAAATGAGAAGAAATAATGAAGTAGATGGCACATGTGGCTTGATTTGTATTCTAAAACCTGTTGAGCATTTTGTATCCTATACAGAATTTGCAAGGTAAAAGTTGTGTTTGAGTAGTTAATATTTTCCACTATGAAGTTTCCTCAAAGTAAAACTATCCACCACTTCTTGTTCATTCCTTTATTTCTGTGAAAACCTAGAGGAAAATATTTCCTAGTATTTTGTATTTAGAACTACTCAATATAAAAGTGACACTTGCTTTTCTTCAGTTTCCTTTTATGAAAAAAAAAAAATGGAAAAAGTAAAGCATTAAGGAAAAAGGAATATGGAAGACTACCTTGCTTTGAAACAGCTAGTTTTTACATCCAGAGTTAAGATAGTGTTTACCTTCTCAGGAACGATTTGGTCAGCTCCATTCAGATGTAGTTCAAAAAAAAAAAAAAAATCTGAAATACCAAATAGTCAGACCAACTAGTGAACAAGAAGATTCGCCGCACAATTAAGAAAATGGAGGTGTCTGGACGATACACACAAAAAAGATTACCATTGTGATGCGTTTCCTTACCCCTTTAGGTACTGTGGCACTGTACATTTCCACCTTCTACACACACACACACACACACACACACACACACACACACACACCCCACAAATGCATCCACACACAATCACCTTCGCTGTTCATTATCTGGTAAAAGACAATCCAGAAGTATTTCTCCAGGCCTTCACTAATATTGCAAGGAAATGTTAAAGGCTCTTTACTGTAAAACATGGTTGAAACTATTCACAATAATAAATGTATAACACTGTCATGCCAGCACTGTTGTGTGGTCCGTGGAGAAGAAAATAAAATCCTTCAGGCAGTAACATAACCTCCACCTGAGCTAAGCAAACATAGCCTGTCTGGATATATATTGTACTTGACATGGTCACTACTGACTTAGACACTCAAATAATGGGCTAATTTGAAAAAGTCCCTAATCACACTTCAATTCAGTCAAACGAATATAAAAAATAATTAAGTTTGATAACAACCACTATCTTTAATACTTATAAATGCTGTATTCTTGGTTCAGAAACCATCAGAACGGATTAATAATCAAGCACCATTTGTACTTCTGTTTTACTTCATCAAACTGTGTCTTCAGGAAAACAGTATGTATAATTTTGGATAAAATCTGTTTACTAAAGAGTCCATTAGAAGCTGAATAGCTGTAGCATTTAGAATAGTAACTCTTCTAACAGTTACCAAGGATACTGGACGATTCAGGTTCTTTATTCCACAGCAATGCATTCTTCATGTAGAAATAGGAGCATGCTTCTCAGCTAATATCAAGAATATTTTCTTCACTACACATGACACTGGATGTCATAGTCATGAAAGCATTAAATAAATTAGAATTTTTTTCCTACTGAATTTAACATTATTTTCCATACATTTGTAGTCATTATGTGTAGAAATAATTTTGATTACCACATTATCTTGTCTCTGAAATGAACCTATTTAAGAATTCTCACAAAGAACAGAGTGAAGGGCAAAAATATATAGGAACAAGAAGAAACCGTACAGGGTTTGAACTGATTATTTGAATATTTTACAGCTACTTTTTCAAATTATAAAGAAGAGAACTGAATAGCAAATTCGATAAAAGTTTTCTGCTAGGGAACGTGATAAGGGTTGTAGGACATGCTATTAAGTCCCGCTGAACACCAAAATGGAATAATAATAAAGCTGTCCTTTTAAATAACATGCCTGTGCCTGTCAGTAGCTGGTTTATTTGAGTTTGTCCCTGCTTTGTTTATATTAGTGCCCCCTCCCTCCCGGGTGCCTTTAGCGTTAAACAAGCAGGTATTGACCACCAATTTAATCCTGAGCTTTAAAAATATAGACCAAACTCTAAGGTTCTTAAAATTTTCAATCATATTTATTTATTGCAGAAAAATAATATACAAAGGTATTTACAAAACAATCATAAAAATATGAATGCATTTAGACACCGGATCTATTTGCATTTTACCATGGGTCATCAATAAATAAATAGAGCGTTGTTTTTTGTATTTTAAGTTTCTTTTTTTTCCCTCAGAGGAAGAACAAAAGAGGAATTAACTGACTATGATTTTGCAGGCCAGTTTGATCCCATTATCTTTATTTTTAAAGTTGTTCTTAAAATTCCTCTGGTTAGTACCATTTTAAAATGGAGAAAAATCCATAACGATGCCTTTCCTTTCATTGGCTGATTGGCACGACCTCTTGAGAATGCAAGCGTGAAAAAATAAAAATATTCTTCGTCAAAAAAAAAGAACATAAAGGAACACAAACAACTGTTCAGACTTCTATCAGAATGTAGAGGTGTGAGGATGGTGCCGCTGCCCGTTTGGAAATCACTGTCCAGGGGCCTGTCTCGCTCTCTTTTAAAAGAGCGCCCCACGCCCTGGTTCTTTGTATTTGGGTTCTGCTCTTCTAATTTCCAAGAAAATCTTTGGCATATATATTTATTTTTAGTTATCCAGCTCCAGAGTCTCTAGACTGTCCATTTTCTCCTTCTCTGGAAACAATGACATCTGCAAAAACCCAGACAGGGGAAAGTTGGTTACTGTTTAGGTCTCTGTGGCTGTTTGCTAAGACTAAGTGAGCCCTGTTATCACCGCCGCCGAGAAATTACGCGGAACAACCTGGAAGGATTTCAGCCTGAGGGCAAGAGGAAGTGGGTGGGCGGAAAGGAGGAGGTGGAATTTGGAAACATTTGTTTTAAGAAGAACGAACTGTTAAAGCCCAAAGAAAAAGAGGCCCTGGCGACACCGTCCTTCCCCTTGACCCTGGAGTCCTTCCCAGTCCTCCCTCCTGTCACGCACACCCTAACAAGGGCGCATCCCCCGGAGACCTCGCTCCCTCGAGGGGACCGAAAGGCTCCGGGAGACGGTGGCAGTACGCGGCAGCGGCGCCAGATTGGGCGACTGGGTTGGAAGAAAGTGGGGATGAGGCGCGTAGCCAGGTGGCCCAGACACCGCGCCCAGTCCATCCGTCCGTCCGTCCGTCCGCCCGTCCCTCCGCCACCTGAGCGACGCGTAGGCGCGGTCCTTACCTAGGTCTCTGGCCCTGCCGTGGGGTGGGGAGCTCCGCCTGCTAGTGCGACGCGGACATGGACCAGGCCCCCTCCATCCTCCAGACCGAGAAGGCGTAGCTGAGCCGCTCGTGGGCCACATAGCTGCAGCTTGCCATCTTGGAGTCCAGCTCGTCGCTCTGGAGGACCTGATAGAGGAAGTCGATGTACCTGGCCGCCAGCTTGAGGGTCTGGATCTTGCTCAGCTTGTCCGAGGGCAGCGTGGGGATGATCTTCCGCAGAGCAGCAAAAGCCTCGTTCAGCGACTGCGTGCGCTGGCGCTCCCGCACGTTGGCCATGACCCGCTGTGTCTGCAGCTCCTCGTACGACTGCGGGCTCCCGCCGCCGCTGCTGCTGCCGCCGCCACCCGCGCCGCCGCCGCCACCCGCAGACTTCTTGCCGCGCTTGCCCTGCGCCGGGCTGCCCGGCTCCTCG